CAGGAGGGGAAGGGGGGCACGCTTAGAGAACCGCGAGCACCACTGGGACCCGCGAAGAGCCGCATGCTGCTCCCGAGCCGCAGGTTAGCCACCCCCGCTATACAGTGTCAAGATGGCGGCTCCCTTGACTGGCAGCTTGGGCGACGAGGTGTTTGCGAAGTTCAGTGTTACGCGAAGTTTACGTGGAGTGGCTATTTTTTCCGGGACCACCCGCAGTCAAGAAAGATCGCGAGGCAACTGTGGTAGTGCACAGTGAAAATGTTCACCGCCCGCGAGGTTCGTGAGTGCTGCGATCTGCTCATCGAGGCCGCTAGGCCTAATCCATCACGCAATTCATCGTCGACGGGCTGAAGACTCTTTAAACAAAAGTTGATGGCAAGTTGCTAGGCAATTGTGTTGCATGCGTGAAGCGTTCTAGCGTCGCAAACGCTTAGCGATACTCCGAGTTTCCAGACGCCAGACGCATACGTTAACGGCGCTCTTCATCGGATAGCTTAGCGCGTACCATGTGTACACTCGATAGTTGTTCCTGGAATGAAGCGATACTACCGCTAATCGGACTGACAAACCTGGAGATCTTCTAGAGCCTTCCACACTCGCGAGCTCCTCTCCATCAGTGCGCACAGGTGGTCGAGATCCTCCTCGCCTGCCTCACTCATCCTGGCCTACCCCTCTGGTCACATGACCTCCCCGTTAGTCAATCAGCGTCGGGCACCTCACTACTCCTCTCCCACCCGTAAACCAATCAGTGTCGAGTCCCGCGGCCACGCATTTATCTGGGCTTCACGAAATGCCGAACACCGAGCCACAGAACGTTTCACGTTAAAAAATAGTCGAAGTTGCCGCCCTACACTGGATGGACTTCAGTAGGTCATGGAATTAAATTAGCTGCACTGCGGTTCTCTACTGAAATATATGTAGCGGGAGTAAAATGCAATGTTTCAAATACTTAAACAATAAACACGAGAACATAAAAAAGGTTTAAGAATCATTAAGCGCATCAGTAGAATCTTCAATTGAAGAAAGTGTTGCTATATAATTTCCGAATAAATTCCAACCTTGTATTCCTACAGGAAAAAAACAAAAAAAAAACAAATAAATAATATTTGAAAACATAGCGTCTTGCTATCCGTATCCCGTATCGATTGATCATGTGTGATTTATCTTGGTGGGTCTGGAAGATGGAGTAATTAAAACGGTAACCTTCAATTTGCCGCGGAGGAGGGAATACACATATCTAGTCTAGTTATCGTTGCTTTAGCTTTTAAACGTTGACTTGCTCAAACAATGACCTCCTTTACTTAGATAAAACGCGACAGATTCACCCCTTCTTCTGATGAAGTGCATCGTCTCAATAGGTTGGTTTAATCGCTGTACAGCGAGAATACCTATCGGGCAAGAAAGCAGCATAAATGGGCAGAGTTGGAAACAACACTTGTGTACAGCTCCGATCCGTTCGGAGGGCTAAAGGGATCCGGGGGGCGGTCGACAGCGCTGGCTTAATTTCACGCAACGCTGACCGCACCGGCGTTTCCTTTCTGCGGCGTCTCTTTGGCCTGATCGGCGAAAGATGGAAGCAACCTGGCGGTCGATCGCCAGAGGGGCTCGCAAGAACACGTTCCAATCACTGGAAATGGAAAGCTAGGACACTTTTTTTTTATTCCTTGCTGTTTTTTTTTTTTTTTTTTTGCTAAGGAATTGAAGGAAAAAAAGAAAGAAACTATCGCTTGACTTCCCAAGTCTTTATTGAACTCGTCGTTTCTTATGTAATTGTATACTGATGGCGATGTTCGGGCGACGTCGTCAGGAATGTTCCAGGACGACGAAGAAGATTCGAACACCTCACTTCTTTTCTTTTCTTTTTTTTAAAATTTACATTGAGGCGGCGAGTTCGCTATGTGCTGTTTTATATTTGCCTTGCAGTAATACTTTTTTTTTTTGTGGCGCGTTTTATTTTACACATAAGTATTTCCTTCTTACTTGACGTTCATTTAGTCATTGACGACAGGCATTTCAAGGTCTGTTAGATGTGTTAAGCTCGCAAAAAGTGTGTTTACATGACGTAATGACCCGCTTTTATACTGAGTTATTCGCGGATGAATATCAGACGACGGAGAATTACAAAACTAAATAATTGAAATTTTTTATTCTTATATTGGGCTAGATAATTTGGACGAGAATATAGTCTACTCATAAACATGCATTTATTAATTTGTTAGTATTAAAATGGACCGGTGATAACTAATCTCTCGTTCTCACAAGTTGAATTTGTTAGAGATGACAGAAAAATTAGCGTCTCTAACAAAAATCGAGGAAGCATCGCGCTTGCAATGGGTGGTGGATGGTAGATGATGCCGTCGTAAGCAATGTGTCAGGCGAGTCATTATGAACGTTCCTTTCCCAAAGTATCTTTTTATGTTTTTAATATTTCTTTAAATGCTTACTTTTAAAATAAATGTTTTGAAATGTTACGTGTTAATTTTTTTTGTCATAACTTGTTATTGCTGGATTTTGTTAACAAACTTTTTTTTTACATAAGGTCGACACCAAATGGTCGGCGCACAACGCGAGCTACGCTGGGCGGAATCGGAAAAGTCGCAGAACATTCCGATTCCGCTTTAAGTAGAGTTTTACGCAGTCCACACAATTTTTCACCTGAAAACGCAAAATTTCTTCGATATTTGCAACGCATGTAGCGCCTCCTCAACGTACGTAACTTTTTTTTTTTTTTTTTTTAAAGACAAAAGATTTTTAAGCCTATAGTGCTGTATGGGCGCGTCATATATTTCATGGGTTATATTCGTTTTTCTGACACCCTTCTTAAGGTCCATTCACACTCTCGCAACCGACTACGACCGAGAGAGACGAGACCTGTTGAAACCTCTTAAAATTCCTTAGGACGAGAGAACACGCTGGCACTTTGGCGCCATCTATGCGGTGACCCTTGAACTGCACTTCACAAGAGCGAAGGTTTTGCGGCATTTTCGAGGTCCAATGTGCGTAATACCTATAACAAAGGCTCATTTATAACGTTGGCATAAGATTTTCGAGCCAAGAAAGAAAGAATAATGCGCGAGAGAAATAGAAAATATGCCGGACCGCCAAGTTTACACTGCTACCTAATAGATGGCGCCAGTGTGTCGTCTTGTTGTAAGAGGTTTCAAGGCACCCAGTTTTAAGAGGTCGCAAGAGTGTGAACGGGCCTTAAGAGGTTCCAAGGCACCCGGTTCTAAGAGGTCGCAAGTGTGTCAACGGGCCTTTAGCGGTACTAAAAAACGGACCGCACGTTCGATGCGATGAATCTCACACCGTGATCCCTTCATATTGCTTCCCTCAAAATCCGCGATGTGGTGGCGACGCCGTCGCTGGAAAGCCTTAGACAGCCTAAGAGATTGACTAACTCCAACCGTGGAGAGCGTTTGCAAGTTAATGGCGGACACCTTCTGCCTCCATGCGCATGCGCGCGTTGCCACGTGGTAAGGAAGACAGCCGGTGGAAAGGCTGAGCCAAGCTCGGAATCACTAGCAGACGATGGGCGCCAAATACTGGATAGGGAATACATCTTACCGCTAAAAAAATGCAATGGCTTTGGCGCCAACAGCGTTTGCGTAGTTGTAACGGCTGGACGCGCGGAGCCTCGGGGTTTTCCCCTTTGAATGGGGAGGGGTGGCTGCCGGCCATCTATCGTCGTGGCCAGACTTTGAGGCCGCGCAGACAGCTGTTTCTGGTGTCACGGCGAGTCCAGTGTGTCAACGGGAGCCCTCTCCTTCGGCGCAGCTCAAAAGCGTGGACAGCGCTAGGCGCATGCGTTCACTCGAAACCGAGCTGCCACCACTAGTAGGGGAGGATTCGGTGCTGTAGTCGCGCTGCCTATAATGCAAATGAGCGGAGTGGAACGTCTTCTAGTAAAATATTTGTCGGCGCTTTCGTCCCCCTCTCTCCCCTTGGATTTGCAAACGCGGTATATAGACCACGTGACCTCAAACGATCAGTTGGAATCACTCTCAAATCAAGGCACACTAGGAAATCTGAATATAGGAGACGTCGCCCGCAGCCCGAGGGCGTCGTGGACTCACAGCGCCCTCTATACGCTGCTTAGCGGTCTCCAGACAAAGCGGCCCCAAGGTGCGCAAATCCAATAAGCAGCCAACAAAATAAAATAAAATAAGAACTAAACAAGATCGGGAGCACCTCGGTGACGTATAGGGCCGTGCGCTAAGTACGTTACCAGAATGCTCGAATCTCTGCGTCGGGCCTTTCGGGCCCTTTTCGGTTTTGCCCGACCCCCGCGGGTGGATGGCACGAACGGCGTCGGGGTCCCGAGCGGGCCCCCGATGCCTCGCTAAGCCTATTACGGAAGGCTCCGGTCGTGACTAGAACAATGGATCCTCTTGCTGGTGAAAAGCTATAGCCGGGGTCGCGGACAAAAGCCGCCCTCCGAGTAATTGGAGGAACGTCCTCGCCGCCGCGAGGCACGCGGGCAAGGGCGCCGCGCTGTACTTTGTTTCACTGTAACTTGGAAAAGAGGGAGTGCTACGAGCCACTCAGAGAGATAAAGGCGAATCACGTGACAGCCTTTACGAAAGGTATAAGGGCGAGAGCGCGACTCACGCAGTTGGAGCCTCTTTCGTGCGTGCCAGACGTGGCTTTCGTCCCAATCGGAGATCAGCCTGTCACCAAGTATCACTGTGACAGGGGAAACTCCTCCCACGCTCTTCCAGTTTAGCGGAGCGAACGCTGGAGAGGGGGTCGCCTCCTCTCCAGCGCTCGCTCCGCTAAAGTGGAAAGGACGTTGCAAGACGCCAGCGAGACCTGCAACGTCTTCACACAACGCGAATGTCGCGAAGCGCCCGACGCGGCAACACCACACGCAGGCGTCTGCCGCCCGGGCAGATCCCGGGCGCGTCTGCCATTTGGGGTCGGGTCGGGGATCCACAGACAGTGACGTCACGAGCGGGCCTTGTCTCCTTGGTGGCTTCGCGCACATTCGGGACGCTCACCTCCTGGCCACCTCGGTGACGTTGACCCTGGAGGGCTTGGACAGGCTCTCCGTCTTGTTGGCCAGGGTGACGGTGTTGCCGAACAGGCAGTAGCGGGGCATGGTCAGGCCCACCACGCCGGCCGTCGCGTAGCCCGTGTGCACGCCGATGCGCATCTGCGGGGGACCGAACCAATCGAATTGTGACCGCATTCGCGAACAAACCCGGAACCAGTGTGGGGAAACGGCCCATAGAAGTCTACCGCAGCGCCGTGACCGGATTGTGTACTCGTCTGCTCGCGGGTACCCCCGATTAGCGACAGATGGCGCCGCGGCGAGAGGGAAAAAAAAATCGGAATTGGATTTGCATGGAGCTTTATGGGAGAGTGCGCAAAATAAACCGAGAGCACGACAGTCGTCCATTGAGAATCCACGAGAAACTATCTCCGTCAGTTTAGCCGGTCGCCACCGGTCGCCCACCTAGAGTAAGAGTTCGCGGTGCTCCACATAGATGGCGCCCCAGAAAAAGAGAAACCCGAGGGGGACACAATGCGGTCGCTCATTTGGCTCTCGTTTCCCCACCTGTCTATCTTACACCCTGCCCGGAACCCATAGTCACCGACGGACGAAAGGGCTACGACAACGCAAATTTAGAGACTACTGATTCACTTAAATATGGCCTATCGAATACGAAGAGCTCAAAAACACCGGTTGTTGGTTGGGAAACCCGAGAAAAAATATTTTAAAACGAACTAAACGATTTTCTAATTTCACCTATTGGATGCCGCTGATGATAAACACACCACCCGAACACACCCTCGTGAAAACGTGTATCGCCCCTTGTTCATTGTCTTAAGTATATATATATATATATATATTTTTTTTTTTTTTTTACGAGGGAGCTCGCGAACGCTTTGTATTATAGTACTTCTGCAATCTCAGGCTTTTTAAGCGGCAGCCGCACTGCTCATGCAACATACGAGATACTCGCGGCTAACGACGGAATTTTTTACGAAAACTAGGTTGTGTACTTGTTTTGTGACGTGTACAGGTTCCCCTCTAGAAGTAACTAAATACATTACCTTTTTAATAAGTAACGAAATTACGTTACTTTTTCCGCCTCTTAAAAAGTAAATATGACATCATTATCAAAAAAAAAAAAAAAAGTAACTCGGTACGAGTAAGGCGTTACGTCATGTTTACGTACAACGCCTGTGTATACCTCTGAAAAAGGGCGTAATGCGAAGTTTGGTCGTCCTTTTAATAGGAAAAAATGGTCAGGCATAATTGTAATTTCAGGTTTTCTGGGATAGTTAGCGCTCGTAGGCTGAGTGTGGGCTATAAAATGACAATCTCAATATAAACTTCAACTGAACCTTTCATTCCTGTCTGCTCAACACCCTGACGTTACTGGGTTCAGCGCTGTGATTGAGTTCACACCGAACCCCTAACGGCAAGTTACGTATTTAAGTTTGTTGACCTAGTCAATATCAAGGGCACTTCGATCGCTTCAGAGGGCTTAAACGAGTGCCCTCTCCACTTGTCCGGATTGAAATCGAAATTACCTCACGAGGGCACTTAACGAGCACTTTTCTTTTTTTCGAATCTGCTTTTAGTTCGTAAGCTCGCTCTTCTGGCCGTACTCAAATTGGACTTCCAGATTGCTAAATTTAGGTTAACAAGCCCTTTATACTTTCGACCGTTCCATGTATAAGGACCGAAGAATCCGGAACGCAATTTAAAACGCGACCGAAAGAAAATTTAGGTGGCCGGTAACGAAATAAAAAAATGATGTACAAAGACCGAAATAACTCCCTACGTCGGGTTCGAGAAGCGGAAAATCTCGGCGACGTAAGAACATACAAAAAAAAAAAAAAGTGATCGGAGATTTAGAAGTTAATACGTAAAAATAAAACAAAAAGAATTAAAAAAAAAGTTCTTTGGGAAATAATCCTCTTCGGTGCAGTGCCGACGAGACCTCCAATGGCGGCGCACTAAAGTAGCTTTCGGAAATAATTCGGGCGGAAGGCCCCAAGACCCTCAAAATAAAACAAAAGGAACCATCCAGCCACCGTCCGAGTAAGAATGGTAATACCAAAAGGAAAGACAAGGAATGTCCGATTTTCGATTATTATCTCGGTGCGGCCGTTTCATTTCCTGGTCTTGAAAAAGTCCCCCCGCGCTGAGCCGCTTTTCTCGACGTGGGTCCTAGCGACAGCGTATATACTCTTTGGCTCGGATCGGCTTGGCTCGTCCGTTTGTGTGCCTAGCCTCCAGCTTGTTTCGCCAGGCCTGCTCGAGCTAGAGCTTTCTTCGGGGTTTAATGCTTGGGCAGTTCCACTCTATGGCATCGTCTTCCTTTGCCGTGCTGCTTTCAACCGGATTCGCGAGATTTTTTAACGACTGTCGACCGGCGAAAACCCGTTCTGCTCGGCTCAGACACTCTATCAAACGACACACGGTTCGGATTAACTTCGCACTCCGAATGACTACGCAACGTGCTACGAGGGATTAGGCTTGCTCGACTCCTCAACTGCGTCTGCGGAGTTAAGACTTTAAAATAAAACGGTTATTTTTAATCATAAAAAAAAAAAAAAAAATCCACGCAGTCATTGACGTTTTTTACAGACATGTAAAAAACCCTGCGAATGGCTTTCCCTGCGAATGGCTCATTGAAGTAAGGGGGAGGGAAGAATGTTTTTATATTGCGAAGGGTTCTCCAGCCTTGGGTTCGTGCTTCTCAGGCGGGAGGGATTTGGTTGTCTAGGGTAGGTTGGTTTACGAGTACTTATCCCATACCAAAAAAAAAAGTAAAAAGAAAAAAAGAATGAAAGACACATAAAAGCTGTGTTGATGCCTTCGTAGTTTTTTCAAACTAACTCCGTGAATGATATTGTATATAAAATCTTTTTAGGTACATTACGATACATTTCGATACATTTTAATCAGTTATCCGACCTGGCGTCCAGACCTAGTTCTCACCGACGAACTCCTTCATTCCTGTCTCTTAGCATGTGGCCAATAAATTTATTCCGAACTGAACGTCTTATCGTGACGATAATCATTCTAAGATTACTACTCAAGATGACCTTCTAATTTTGGAAGCTGACCTTCTCAAAATAACCGACTGGTGCCAGAATTGGAAAATGTCTCTTAATACTAACAAATGTAAGTGCATGCGTTTTTCTAATTCATTAGCAGAAACTAATCCTACGCTACTTTTGGATGGGACTATACTTGAATATACAGACCACTATAAATACCTCGGCGTGCATCCTTCACCTACCCTCTCTTGGAATACTCATATTAACAACACTGTACAATCTGCTAATCGAAGTTTAGGCTACATCCGTCGAAATTTTAGATCTGTTTCCAATAACCTTAAGCGCCTCCTGTACGTTACTCTTGTCCGTCCCAAATTAGAATATGCGTCTTCAATTTGGCATCCTCATCAATCAACGCTAACTGATTTAATTGAATCTGTTCAGAGCCGTGCTGCACGCTTCATTTTTTCTGATTATTCCCGTTTTTCGAGTGTCTCGTTAATGAAAGCTCACCTTGACCTTCCGCTATCTTCACGTCGTAGGATCTCTCGCCTTTGTCTTCTTCACAAGGTATTTTATACGCCCATCTTTAAACAATCTCTCTTAAACCCCCCATCATACATCTCGGCTAGAATTGACCATCCTTGTAAGATCGCCCGCCCACAATGCTTCACCCTCGCACACCAGAAGGCGCTCTTACCATCTGCGATTGTGGACTGGAATGACCTCCCCGAGAACCTCATCGGCATCACCGACAGTGGAAGATTTCGGGACGCCATCACCAACTACTTCATGTAAACCCGCTCCCCTCTGTAACGCCACTTGTGGCCCTGAGGGTATTATAAATAAATAAATAAATAAATAAATAAATATATGATGTCCCTCCTGGCCGTGTATCTCATATGCCAAGACCGCGTTCGCTTATTTCCAAAAATAAATATGTCAAATTAATATCAAACACCCCGTATACAGGGTGTCCCCCAAACGAATGTATCGACTTGTTTTCACCGCAAAAATAAACTACACATCACCGAACGCTCATTCTCCTTCAAAATGTAGCTTTAGCGCTTCGAACCAGAGGCCAAAAGTTTCAGAACTAACCGTTACTTAATTCAAAAGTTACGAGTGGTTTTCTCAAATGTTAATTGGGAAAATGGCGGTCGAATACGGAAAGCCGTACTCGGCTTCCCGAAAGCCGAATGGCGCCAGTTTGCGATGGGAAAATGGGCTTCGTTTTCGATAACTGACGCCATTCGGCTTCCCGTGTTCGGGAAGCCGAATACGGCTTTCTGTACTCATCCGCCATTTTCCCAATTAAGATTTTAGAAAACCACTAGTAACTTTTGAATTATATAACGTTTAGTTCTGAAACTTTGGCATTCGGTTCAGACCGCTAGCTTCACATTTGGGCTTACAATGAGCGATCGGTGGTAAGTAATTTATCTTATTATTTCTTTTTTTTTTTTGCGGCGAAATAAACGCGGAACTCTTTTTTCGGCGGAAGGGCACGCTGTACATTTTCGAGTACCTAAGGGGCTGGGAACGTGTCGACGAATGCTTGCCTGAATGGGCTCTCCGTTGACGGGACTGAGCACGCCGCGGGTGGCGGTGATCATGTCCAGTCCCATGGCGATCAGGCGGTCCGCGTGGTCCTCGACCGGCTCGGGCACCCCTGCCACCACCACGTACGCGTCTCCGATGGTCTCCACCTGGCAATGGACGCCGTGACTTTAGGCTCGCAAGCAACGCCTGGGGCAGAGGATCGTTCGCACCTTCGCGACACCATTACGACGGAGCTTCTCGTGATTTCTTACGACGAAAGAACGCACTGGAGCTATTTATTGGCTAGCCGTGGAATACTTAATCTTTTTATTAGTTTCGCGTACCATTCTTTTCTTATTCACTCGAAAAAAATCTTTTGCCAATGTTATAGACCACCATTTCACGTAAATAGCGCGTGCATTTTATTTCGCATAAATTACCGCAGACGCTTCACTCTAGCGAAATCAGTAGGTCGTGAGCAAAAAGCAATTTCAGGGCCTCCTCATAGACGGCGCCAGCGTTCCGGTATGTTCTCTCGCCGTTAGACACCCCAAGAACGCGCTCGCAAGCAAACACGAGTTCGCGAACACTCCCCGAACACTAACACTCCCCAAAAATGTTTTCTTTTCAATTTTTTGTCACACGATTTAATATGGTGTCAGGAGAATACCTAATCAATATGTCGCTGCAGAGCCACGTATATGTTTATTAAAGCAAAAAAAAAAAGAAAAACTTAATTGTTTGAAACCGATACCGAAACACGAGCACTTAAGCTCACGGCTGGAAGGCACGTGGCTACACCCGACCGCGTTTTTTTTTTTTTTTTTCTCGTTTTTTCAGTGTACGAAGCAGACGACGAGGACGACGCCGAATTTGCGTGCCCCGTTTGTCGTGCGATTGTTTCGCACTTTCATCCTTTCCGCTCGATGTTCTGCACTTAAAGATCGTTTGGTGCGTATCACAAACCACAGTTTCGGAGTAGCGACCCCACGTCCGTCGCAACGTTGGCCCGTCGCGCGCCGCCATCGTGTAGTCGCCATATTGAGAATGACGGGTACATGTACTTCCTACGATCTGTGCAACATTTTTTTTTCGATCAACGTACTTTCAGCTTTCTGAAAGCCACAAAAAAGGATTCATGTTGTTTCATATTTTTAATGTCGAATGTGTGCCTTAGATGACCCGCATCTTTGAATATAGTTGATACACGTAGTTTGAACGTCACGTGACCATAGGAACGAGAGTGAGCGCGACTGAAACCGGGCAATTGTCGACCGGCTGTTTTTGGGCGGAAAGAAAAGGAATTTCTAGCCGCAAATTGTGTTCTGGGTAGCTGGGCCCTTAGAAATCATGTTAAAATAAAAACCTCGGCGAGCTTGAATACCCCGTCAGTGTCCCTCTAAGAGCAGCAACAGTCAGAGACAGCTGTCAAACACGGGGCGTGGCGGACGTCTCATTATCGCACCATTAGCCGATCAGAACGCTGAAAAATAAATGAAGAAGTGTGAACACGGAGGTGCTTCTGAAGTTGTCCGCGGTTACATAGATGCGGTCGCTTCCATGTATCCGCGGCTAGAGACTAGATAGATTAGTTCAACTCTTTAACGTCACTTCACTGCGGTGGCGCTGGTGTCGGCATTGCACGTGCGCTTCGCTACTCTCGGATCTGGTTTCCGCGCAGGCGCAGTGTCCACACCCGGTCGGGGCAAACGAGTGTTAGTTCGTAAACACTGTGTTGGTGTAACGCCTGCGCATTTCGCCATCGGTAGTGAATCCAGCACTAAGCGGAAATGCCGCACACCGTGTTCTCTCTAAGTACAACCGCAGCCGACGATCCGTGGGACTAAAGCAAGCAGCACCAAATGTGCGTTGTCCCCGCGCTCGTGGTCTTTATGCGTTTGCTATCTTTACCGACTAAACTAATCGGGCGCTTCTTTTTCTGCGCCTGATAGGTTTAGCCGATGACCAGAAAGACAACGAGCGGCGTGACGATGCACTTTTTGCGCCACTTGAATGGCTGCATCAGATCCTAGCGAGCGGCCGAATAGACCCTCCGCAAAAAAATCCCGTTGCGCGCGCGAGCTTTTGGGATTTTGTTTTCGTCTGCTTCATGCACAGGGCTTGTGATGACGTCAGAACGCCGAGCTCTTATTGGCTGATTCAAAAACAAAATAGTGGGTAGACCTCGAGGCATCTAGCAGTGGGTTCTACCCACTATCCTTCTAACCCAAGCCAATCAGAACTCGGCGTCGTTATGACGTCAGCGCAACCCCCGCGCGAAAAGCAGACGACTTGCTCTCTGCATTAGATTGCACTTTCCCTTTCGCGCCGAGCAAGAACGGAGCCCAGGCGGCGTATAGCGATCATATTGGTCGAGCGAGCTCCCGCGACGCTGGGCGACGTTTCACCTTGTAGACGCCGTGCAGGTTGGACAGGTTGTCGAACTGCAGGTACAGGTGGTTCAGGAGACGCACGATCTCCATGGGCTCGCAGCTTCCGCTCATGCTGGTGAAGCCCACGATGTCCGAGAAGAGGCACGACACGGTCTCGAACTTCTCCGCTTCCACGGGTAGGTTCTGGCACAGACGCTTGGCCACCTGCGCGATGAAGGCCGAGGTCGACGCCATTTATACCCCCGGCACGCTCGAACAAAGAGTGAAAATGCTCACATCACGCAGCTAATATACGTCGCACAAAAGACGGTATGCAGACACCGAGTTTTTTCTTGTAAGATTGGTCATGCAAAAACTGTCTGCAGATACTCGAAGGAGACATGTTTGTGAAGGCTTCGAACATAGCTGAGACGTGTCCGCAGGAAAATGTTCTCGTCATGTATGCAGGGAAGACCGTGTCTCTTGTATGATGTATTAACTGTGTGACCACGGCCAGCGAAATATCAAGTGTTTGTTTTCCCACAAAGCACTTGGGAGAGTGAATAGCTGCACTCTACGCAAAAAGCTCGGGGAATGATGAGGCTGGAAATCTGTTCACAGACAAAATCTTTCAGCCTTTCCACTCTGGTGAAGAAGGAAGACCAGCGAAGCTGTACGATGCAAAGTAATGGCCGGCCGGAAGTCGGCAAGCCAGAGTGGAAAGGCTGGAAAGGCTGCACTCATCAATGAATGACGGCGGCAACCAGGTACGTGGCTTGCCGCCGTCAGTCATAGATGGCGGTAGGTGTCCAGAGTTCGGTGTCTTCATTTGTTTGCGGGGGACACGATCCTGGGGAAACTAGTCCTTAACACATCCGCTGTAAAAACAACCGTCTGCGCCATGACACTAAGTTGCTGGCACTACCACGAACACTCGCACGCTTCCCTGACAGTTTAGGAGACGAGAATGTAACTAATAATACACATAAAAAAAAAAAAAAAACACACGGTTACAGGGACAATAGGACCACTTTCGAGCACGCTCACTGCTTGAGGCTAGTTTCTCACCGACGTCCCGGCTAACCCTAACCGAGTGGACTTCATTTCGACAGGCGCGCAGCTTGCGGAGGCGCAATTTCGGACACCGCTGGCGGCTAAATTCCCACTTTTTCCCGCTGTTCTTTCTTTTTTTTTTTTTTTTAATTTTATGGTATATGACATCTATGTACTATTCCAAGGACACTGAGAAAACAGTGGACTACATTTAAAACAAAAATCAAAATGTAAGTTTTCGTTTTCTTGTGGTACGCGCACGACAGATAAGATGACTGGAAGGTATGTTTTATCTGACGATAAGCTTTAACAGCGACGCCCGCTCAGCCGTGCAAATCGACGAGGCGCTTAGCTGTCGATAGTTTGAGTACAAAATATAGCCGGAAGGCATGGATATTTCACGCGCACAAATAACGTGTTTACCGATCTACACGATAGGACCCAGGCACGAAATTTAATGAGTGTCAGCATTCGAACGATATGATGTACGTCTCTCAAATACCACAGCACAACAGTGTCGACGACAGTCACATCTGAACGATCGGACGGCATCCGAGAGGACCTCGTTTTAGAGCACGTTTTCGGGGAGAGCCACCCTTTTTCACAACAACAGCATCCACATAAACGAGCGGGCGCGACTAGTTCGTTCCCCACCCCAACCCGAAACGCTATTTTTGGCTATAGAGAGTTTTAGTAGATCGTTCCCATGACTCCAATAACGGTACCCGATACCCCGCCACCGCCTCCCTTGCGCATGCACAGTATCGTTATCGGGGCTATCGGAGGTATTGGAACGATCTACTAAAACTCTCTAATGGCTGAGAAGGTCGCCATCTTTGCAGATTATTTCTGGGAGCAAGCAGTAGGTAGAACAGTTGTCAATGTGCGCCACACCGCATAACATATGCGCGGAAGCGCGCTGAGCATGTTTCAGTGGTCCGAGAGAGTGGCAAAAAATTTCCAGCTGATAGATGGCGCGAGAGTGGCACCAGCTGCGTCATTATAATCATCATCAGCAGCCGCAGCAGTGATTCGTTTTTTGGAGCGAATGTAAGCGCGCGAGCGAGCTGGTTTAAATCGCAGCATAACCTCCTCTATACTCACAAACCCTGACAGTTCGAGGAGCACGAGCTGACTTTCCATCGCTCGGGAGAAGTGTGTTTCGGCGTCTCGCCGCAGCGGGGCGGCGCCAGTTACATGACTCTCCTCTCATTTGCTGTCTGCCGCTATACCGGTCCTTTTCACTTTCGGCGGCCACGCCTCGTGGCGATCTGCCAGGCTTTGTCAGTATAGAGGAGGCTATGATCGAACATGACGTCCTCGAGACTGTAGGTAAAAACAACACAAACACTAAAAGGCTTTTTTTTTTTTTGCGTTTTTGTTACTTTTAGTGGCTACGTAGCGATGATAACGTGCTCAGATTGCCACGCCCTGCGTCTCTTGAGCTGTCGGTCAGTCACCGTTGGTAGCGTGCGACACCTAAAGGGGGCGCGCCGCTCCGCCTTGGCAGGTCGCTGGCAGCGCCACCAACGACAGCGTTCGCGTCGCATCCTATGGCCGTGTTTCTTCTCGTTCTCGCATCGGAGTAGAGGCTCGGCACCTTGACACTCGAAAATCCACACGCGTCCAGCGTTGATCTGCGTCTGTTTTCACGCCATGCGACCCGCAGCAGTTGCCCGAAGCTCGGGGAATTCAATCGTGTGTCCCGCAGTTGTAAGGGGCAACGACGGCAATGCACCGCCATGTTTTTTGTTTGTTTGTCTGCGCTGGAATGTGCCTCCACGAAGCGCTTGTGTGTTCGATGGTTTCAAGGTCGCTATGGGGCGACGTTCACCAGTGATCGATAAAATCTATAGGAGAGGTATTTTTCGCTCCCCTTATTATAGACCGACACGCTGTTTACAAACAAGCCCGCGTTTGCCCACACGAGGTGTGGGCACTGCGCATGCCCAGAAACCGAATTCGAGTGAACTGAAGCGTTTGCGCATGCGCAGTGCCGTCGACAGCGCCACCGCAGCTGCGTGACGTCAGGGACGCGTGTTGGTCTATAAGACTGCTCTTCGCTCCCTAGCGTATTGAGTAAGCGTACTGAGTTATGATGATCGCGGCGGTTTTGCTAGCGCACTAAGGGGACCCATGTTCTCAATTTCCAAATCTTCCGTAAAAAGAAAAAAGAAAAAAGAAAAAAAAAAGCTTTGCGCTGGTTGTGGCTTTCACCGTTTTCAGAAAGACGCTTTGCTCGGGTAAGCTGACATTGATTAGAAACTAAGGTTGGCTGCTACACAGGGGCCTTCCACGCCTGCCCGGCCGTGCTTTATGCGAAATGATTTTGCTAAAAGCCGCACCGTGGCGCCACTGTCTTGTCGCATGCTCCCAATAAAAACAAATCACGTCTTTCTTTTTATTTTGCGTTGTTGTCAGCATTACTTTGGGGGAGCGTTTTCTGTAGCAGTCGGATCGCAGTGCACCCGATCTGCTTTTCAGAGTCAGTGTTTTGGCCAGATTAGTGAACGGTGTGGTCAGGATGGGCTAATGGAACATTCACTTTATGTCGATACATAAGCATAATGTCGGCTCAAAGTGCACGCTCTCTCGGCACTTATTACGCCAGTGGTTGTGCCCTGTATCAAAGTAGTACGATATGTAATCTATGCGGACTGGTATGCTCTAGCGTCAAATAAAGTTTCTACACTTACTGATTTTAGTTGCGAATGAGGACGGCCCACTGCCGTTTAGTTATATCTTTGAGGGGGCTGCATAAGTGGCTCTCTTGTATGATCAACATCGCAAGTTGTGTAGAGATAATATAAAAGACAAGATCTCAAGCGCGTTGCTTCGAGAAGTACTGGTGGGCACGTGTACTCACTCAGAGAAAACTCGAAAAACATGAGTATACGGACCATTTATAATTAGTTTGCTATTTTCGCTTTCAGTGATTCAAATAGAAGTTCAGAGGGGAAAGCTTGCGGGCATATCGGCGGGGAATGTACTGCATCTCCATGTTTAAACGAGCAAACAGTGCTTCTCTCTATCCGATGACACATTGCAGATTCATTCGAAAAGAATGAAATTCTCATTCTGCTTTGCGGAGCTGCTGCGAAAGTACTGACAAGGCTAGCACGTTGTCAGGAGCCCATGCTCGTGTAGTACCTTAAAGGGGCACCAAAGTGCTTTTTATAGAAGCTTGTTTTTGATGGCATATTGTTTGTTGAGCTTTAGTCAACAAAAAATGACCAGTTCTAGAGTGCAAAGCGTCCCAGTAGATTCACAAAAATTCCGAACTTTACTATTATTATATTTTGTGAAAAACGTCAAATATTTGGGTGTAGGAGACGTAATACAGCAATCATTGTTTGAAAACGCCGTCCGACGGCTACCTCTGGTGTCTGATCCAAGGCGCAGAAATAGAGGCGCGTCAATATCTTTGACTAGATTTTTTAATAATGAAATCGGCCGCCCATAATGTAGTTTTGGTATTTTTTTTTAGGATGTCTAGAGCCCGTAGATTGAGTTACTACCATACATGAACGATCTCAGAATCCACTTTAGTGCCCATTAAATGGTGCCCTGAGGGTTATAACTTATAAGCATCCTAGAAATGCATAAATCATGATCATACGTGGCCGATTTACCTAATAAAAAAACTCCCTGTAACGCCGAAGTAGAGCGCAGCACTTGAGTAAAAGGAGGGAAGGGCAGTGAGGGGAGGGTATACCCCTCCTCCTCCTCCTCCCCTCATTCTTCAATCTCCTCCGGGGGCGGGAGTCACCTGACCTCGGGGGGAGGGGTCACGCGACCTCGGGGGAGATCGCGTGACCTCGCGGTTACGCCGACGCCGCTCAAGCCGGAAACGGGCCCCTAAGAGCTGCGCTCTAAAACGCGATTCGTGACACAGCGAGGTCATCTCCGCCGATAGGAGGAGCATGTTGTGAAACCTAGGGTGCCTCCATGTCCCGCTAGCGAGCATGAAGGCACTCTAGTGGAACCAGGACCACTGTCAGCCAATAGCAAGCGAAGGATCCTCGCGCGTACGACCTGTGGAACCGCGGAGTGAAATCTCGAATGCGCGCAGCTCGTTGCCCATACGGCCCGGACGCGTGTATCCGAATGCCTGGACCCCCAACGGGGCGAGGGAGAAAAGGAGAGGGAAGGGAGGACACCCTAGCAACGAT